ACGCATGCACACGGCGATTTGACGGCTACGTACATTCTGATCCACATTGGCGTTTGTCACATCAATAAACCTCGTCTGCAAGAACCTAGAAGCAAGGAATCAACACTAGCAGAGGATGAACGTATGTCGCACGAACTTGTTCCAAAAAAATCGATCGTCTGCCTAACACATCATGAGCAAAGTAGCTGAGCCAATTAGGGGACTAACAACTCACCACCTCCCATAATGCCCGACCCGCGTCCTCCTGGATAGTCCCCCACTGTGTCTGCAGTTTTGTGGTCAAGTCCCACCCGTAGCTGTACAAGAAGTATCCGCCGTAAAGATGACTTCTTGCCAGTGCGAGCAAATGGGCCTCAACGGGGTTCGGGGGATTGGTAACAGAAACATCAGGGTTCAACGGTAAAATATCGTAGTCTGTGGCGCGGTATACGTTGTGACCCATGAAGCGACCTCGTAGCTCTCTTCCTGTGATTATTATGATATATTCCGCTGCAACGAAGGATCAACAGAACACGCCACGAGGAATACAAAGCCAACGTACAGATCACTAGCGTCACCATTCCAAGGATGCCATATATTGTCTTGCCCGAGCGGTCAGCACTTGCAGGTAATGGCGTATTTGGTGCTGCATGCAGCTAAGCATATGTCACGCACACGTAGTGCAGCAGTTGCTTACGATTGAGAACTACGTCCCCGGAATTCCTGTATATTGTCAGCGAGCGTGCGCCAACCGGCTCGGCTGGGACGAATATGTAGGTTTCGTTGCTATCTATGTACCTGCAACCCTTGGTTAGCCAGTACACACAAGCAACAGTAATCCTTCGTACAGATTGAGCCTTTGGTGTAGGGTCTTCATGCTTTGAAGATGAGGGGAGAAGGGAGAGTGCACAGTATCTGGTTTGAAACAAGCGCGTGCTCGTCTTAGGGTGCGTTCAAGGCGCGGCGACTGCCAGTCGTTTCCTCCCTCGCGTTTACACGCCTTGCACTACCTTGCGCGGTTCATTACCCAAGCCAGGTCTGAACCACCATGAAACTTACGCCAGAGCTTATCCAGGCCGTGCCCTCGACGCAAAATGCTATCAAGGAGAGACAGATGGACCTACGAGGCGAGTCGAGCAAATCTCACCGCGTTTTCTGTCCACAACTGCTAAAACAATTGGCTCTAGGGTACACTATCCCCGCTATCGAAAATTTGGGTGTCACCAAGGTCTTTATCCCATTCTTACAGTAGCGCTGCTCGTCTGACCTAACATAGGATTCGCACGACTGCATTGACCTCACAGACAATTCAATAGTTGTGCTGGGCAACATACCGCTCCTCCGCCGTCTTCGTACCCTTCTCCTCGCCAACAATCGAATATCCTCCATATCTGCCTCTTTGCATCTTTCGGTGCCCAACCTCGCCACTCTCATTTTGACCAACAACAACATCGCGGAACTAGGTGACCTGGAGCCTTTAAAGGACGTAAAGGGTCTTAAATACCTGTCGTTACTCGGTAATCCAGTTCGAGAAAAGAAATGGTACCGCGAGTGGCTTGCGCATCGCATACTGTCGCTGAGAGTGCTGGATTTCCAGAGAATCCGTGATAAGGTGCGCCTCAGAGTTATGAACATGGATTTGTACACATGGAGCTCATCAAATCATCAGGAGAGGCAGGCTGGGAAGTCGTTGTTCCTTACCGCAGACAACCTGCCTACACAACTGGCGACAACTCTTTCGACAACTGTCTCCACTCACTCCAAGACGTCAGTCACCACCGACGAACCGAAAGCAGTCGTTACGCCTGGTAAAGCCGGGCGGCTAATGTCGAAGGAGGATGCACAGCGAGTGAAAGATGCTATTGCTAAGGCAACGTCAGTAGAGGAGATCAGGAGGCTTGAGAGGAGTCTCAAGGAGGGATTCATGCCGGGTATGGACAGCGTAGGAGCTTGAGGCACTGGGCCACAGTTCTGCCATTGGCGGGCGAGAGTTTTTGTCGCAGTGAGCGGTCTGCTTTAATTAGTAGACTATTTGAACGTGGTACATTGACATAATCTCGTCAAGCAAAGATACAAGTGGGACGAGGCCATCACAGCAGAATTCTCGCACTCAGAGATCACCTACACCTTTGTTGGCAATCCAAAGACCGTGGAAGGCCATTAGGATGATTGCTCCAAGATTCAGCAGAGAGCTGATGCCGTGCAGCTGGGCGAATGTAGAGTTCAGTGCTCTCATCTCTGCAGAGACCTATCAAATGACAGCTAATCAGCTACGTCAAGTCAACGTTGCGAGGAAGATACACGCACATCAGGTTCATTGTAACTCTTGCCCTCCTCTTTCTCCAGCTTATGGCGCTTGAACATGGTCCTAGGAGTAGATACTGTCAGGAGGCTACTCATCCTAATCAGTCCATTGAAAACGTACTTGCTGGTCAGCGGCCCAATGACGAGCTGGTTGAGACTTTGTGCTGCAACGACACTGGCGAGCGCATAAGCCTGGGCGACGTCGGCAATGTGCGGGTTTGTGATATTGGCGAGCACTGCTGGGTGACCGGTGTGCCACAGAAACATGAGTCCCCCGGAGAGGGCAATGGAAGTACCAAAGTAGACAGGGAAAGTGCGGTGCTGGAGGGCACCGAACTGGTGGCGAGCTGGGAAAGGGTGGTTGGCAACAAGTTTCGAGTAACAGGATCGAAAACGTACGCAAAGTCCTGAAAGCAATAATACCTCCGACAAAACTGATCCAGAACGCTGCGAAGGGGTCAGCGAAGTTGAGGTCAGGGGGCATGGAAGTTGGCACTCACACATGCCGAACAACAGTCCATATCCAAGGAAATATGCTGCTTTGAGGTTGAGCAGCCCGAGCAAAGATGATACTGTCAATGTTTCCAGCTGTGCCATGGTGTCGTCAATGTGGGTGTGTAGGAACAGGTACAGGCCGGTGTGGGAGTGTTATACTCAACCCAGGCCAAAGACGCGCACGTGGGGAAGGCGGGTGCGGCCACTGTAAGTAAGCACGATTTGTGCATACTCACTGGGCTAGACGGGGCTCGAGTAATAGAAGACCATCATCAAGATGCCGCGTTACTTGTTCTCGATGACAACGAGCGCCCCTGGACCGGCTTACCGTGACCACATATGATACAAGTAGAATTTTACATTCATACAAAGGGACGGGGGACATTGCAGACGTTTAGCAGGAAAGGCTGAGGAACGCAACTCATTTATCCTCACCATCTATCCCCCAACCCTACCATCGCACCAAGGCTTCCCATGCCGCCCATGCCGCCCATACCACCCGCAGGCCTGCCTCCAGGACGTCGCCTGGGTCCTGATTGCCCACGATCTTCTCGGTTGGCAGTCAGCACTACGTGCCTGTCAACAAGCTGTAGAAATGGATAGATCAGTGGCGCAAGGGCAAGAGCAAACATATGACAAACGTCATTGAGTATGTTGGCACTCTTCGTCAAGGTGGAGAGGTAGGCTGTGAGTTGAACGTCCTCGTATTCCTGAAGAGACATTAATTGTGGGCTAGAGCACGGCATGCAACGATCATCGATGCTGAACATACCGTATCAAATTCTTCTCGGAAGTTCTTATCTTCACTCGCCGGTAGTGACGCGAGCAGAGCAGAGAGAGCACGTAACGTTGTATGATCCGTCTTAGCTGAGCCTGCCGATGGTTATATACGGACGCATCAGTCTGATGAACCCGATACTTATGCATGATCATGAGCATACCTGCCACAACCTCTGTGATATACTTGACAAGAACGAGAATTCGATCATGAAGCATCTTCACCGCCGCTCTTTGAGTTTGCAAATGTGATTCCACTGTCCAATCTAATAAATGCAAATTTTGTCAAATATGTACTGTGTACACTCACAGCTGGTGCCTCCGGATCCTCCTCTTGCAGTCCAGTCAACCGCAATACGCTCGGCCTCGCCGGTCTCTATTTTGAAGTTTGCCTCTATAAACACGCTTCTTGACTTACGGTCTCGAATCTCAATCGTGGGCTCAAATGCTTTGAAGGGCAATGGTGCCTGTAGACTATCTGACGTGCTGGTGGCGTGTGCAAACACAGTGGAGGGCTGTAGAATCAATAAGAGAGGTGTAGAGCTGTATGCAGTGAACTGAGGCGTATTTCAGCAAAAAGGTGATCGATTCGGCATGGATGAGCACACACACCTGCTCGTGTAGCGCGATATGCTGTGCATTCGGGTATGTGGCCACAGTATACCAGCCAATGAATTCCAGTGACGGAAAGACTTGTTTATCTGCAGACGTCGTCAGGAATACCAGCAGACGTCCCGAAATCGATGCATACATTGTTCCCGACGAGCGACGAGGAACCCTTGATCTAGAGTTTGACCATCTTCCTCCATCGCGAGCTCGAAGGTATTGACGATTTCAACTTCTCGCCCATTCTGTGTGCCGAGGAGTGCACCGATAACTGAAGACCGCAAAGACTGCAAGTCAGCCACTCAGCTAGACTAAGCTACAGTTTGCGCGTACCAAAAGGGCTGTTCGTGTTTTTTTGCAGCTTTAGCCGTGTCAAATGCTCAGATATGTTCAGAATTGGGAGTGGGTGTCTGATGAAGTGCGGGTGTCAGCCTACGTGCATGGTCCAGAAATGAAGATGGTGGGCACAGATCGAGCGACAGACCACTGGTGGTGGTGGTCGAGGGTAGCACGACTGGTAATTCATCGGTATCCATGGAGGCCATGAAGTTTGTGGGTATAGCAGTTGTCAGGCAGTCGCAGAGTGTTACAAACACACGGCGGGCCCGTGCCAGTGGTCGAATAAGTTACAAATATGAGTGAAGCAGCTGCGATAGTTGAAGTACACGCGGCAAAGGCGCCGTCACCATATGATACAGAACTTCAAAGTTGAACAATTGCAACTTTGATGGCCATGAGTGCTTGCTTACAAAAATCTAGCAAACACCCTCTGTCTTCCAGCTACGTGCGCAGGATCTTTTCTCATATCAAACAAAAAGGGCGCTTTTCCCCTCAAAATATTCCCATTAGCCGACTCGAACGACTGACCTCGTCATGTGCGTTTACTAGTGACGCGCTCTACCAACTGAGCTAAACGGGATATAGCAATACGCATACACGCTCAGATATTATCCAGACCTTCATATACAACACGTTTTTGCCTGCCCTAAGGTGCGACGCGGTCTTGCAGATACACGGCTCTCTCTCGACGTGTTCAGCCCTCTCTTCGCCATGTCTGGTTTTGATGCCGACAGAGTATACTCCGTTGCAGTCCACGATGCCCCAGACCCAGCAGGGCCAGACAAACCCTCCGAGACTGAAAAGCTACTGCAGGAATTTCTGCTACAGTTCCGTGTGGGAGGAGATTTCATATACAGGCAAGTCGTTCAAAATCGAGAATGCAGAATGGCAGTTAATGACATTGCAGAGACAAGCTTCGTGCCAACCTTTTGTTAAAGCAGCATCAACTCGAAGTCGACCTCCGGCATATAGGTCTCTTCAATGATGAGCTTGCCCACGCGATTCAGGAGAGACCAGCTGAGATACTACCTTTGGTGAGGCTCTTTTGCATGACGATACTTTTATTTCTGACACTCTTGCACAGTTTGAGTCTGCTGCAACGAAAGCTGCTCGGACGATCCTTTTCCCTCTAGCCTCGGGGTCGGAGGCCACTCTCGAAGTAGCCTCGCAGTCCATTCCGTCTATGCAAATTCTCATTAAATCAGGCTTGAATCTGCAACAATTCCGCGATCTCTCCGCCAACACAATGAACAAGCTTGTGCGCATTCCGGGCATTGTCATCTCTGCCTCCGTTATGACTTCACGCGCAACAAAGCTGCATCTCCAATGTCGTGCCTGCCGTTCAACCAAGATTGTCTACCCACCAGGCGGTTTAGGCGGTTTGGGTGGAGGTGCAGAGAGGGGACTACCGAGGAAGTGTGACGCTGAGATGCCAGACGGGCAAAAGAAAGAGTGTCCGATGGATCCCTATCTCATCATTCACTCGAAGTCGTCATTTACCGACCAGCAAATGCTCAAACTCCAGGAAGCACCTGACATGGTACCCGTGGGAGAGCTCCCAAGACATATACTGCTATCTGCGGACAGATATCTTACCGGCCAGGTGGTGCCAGGCTCAAGAGTTATTGCTACTGGTATATTTTCGACTTTCCAATCTTCAAAAAATGTACGTCGCTATCACACTCTGTTCCCAACACTCTGACCACATTTTGGCATGCAGAAAGCAGCGTCGGCGGCGGCGCTGCGGACGCCCTACCTTCGCCTCATCCATCTTGACATGGCCACTCCATCGGCGGGTGGTTCTGGTGGCTTAAACCCCTTTGGCGTCCAGTTCACTCCCGAAGAGGAGGAAGAATTCGGAGAGATGGCGCGAAGCGATGCATTCTATGAACGCTTCGCTAACAGCGTGGCACCTAGTATCTTCGGCAGTCTTGGTAAGTCATTTGCAACGCAGGCACAACTCGCTTTTAACCTGAATACAGATATCAAGAAAGCTATCACCTGTCTGTTATTCGGCGGATCAAAGAAGATTCTTCCAGATGGCATGAGGTTACGTGGAGATATCAATGTGTTACTGCTCGGAGATCCAGGTACAGCAAAGAGTCAACTTCTTAAGTTCGTAGAAAAGGTGAGTATATTGACCCTCGCGGGCTCGCGGATCCAGACTGACACGCCAAATCTAGGTTGCTCCGATTGCTGTGTATACCTCTGGTAAAGGATCTAGTGCTGCAGGTTTGACGGCTTCAGTGCAGCGAGACGCAGTCTCTGTAAGTCACGACGTATTGTTATTTTGTTTGATCATAGCCGCTGACTTCGCCTTCTCAGCGCGAATTTTACCTCGAGGGAGGTGCCATGGTTCTTGCTGATACCGGAGTTGTCTGCATCGATGAGTTCGATAAGATGAGGGATGAGGATAGAGTGGCGATCCATGAAGCCATGGAGCAGCAGACTATTTCAATCGCTAAGGCCGGCATCACAACCGTGCTCAACTCAAGAACGAGCGTGTTGGCAGCAGCAAATCCTGTGTGGGGAAGATACGACGAGGGAAGAAGTCCTGGCGAGGTGACTTTGAGTCAGATTGCTGTCTATGGTCATCCGCTAACGACATCTGCACTCAGAATATTGACTTTCAAACGACTATCCTTTCTCGGTTTGACATGATCTTTATTGTCAAAGATGAGCATAACGAGCAGCGAGATCGAGTATGTGGATGCTTTGTGGTTTGAACCGCAGTGTATTAATGTCACTTTCGCTTTAGATGATCGCCAAACACGTTATGAATATTCACATGAACCGCCCTGGGCAGAATGCCGACGAGAATGGTGAAAACGTAGGAGAAATCGATATTGAGAAAATGCGGCGGTATATCTCTTACTGTAAAGCGTATGTGTTCTGGTGGTGATAGTGGACCTCATGCCGTGTGGATTCTCACCTCATAACAGGAGATGCGCGCCACGGTTGTCGGCTGAGGCTTCAGAGATGTTAAGCAGCCACTTCGTGTCACTACGCAAACAGGTGCAGCAGGTCGAACGGGATAACGACGAGAGGAGCTCTATACCTATCACCATCCGGTAAGACGTTTCTAGGCCCCCGGTTCATCGTCGACAGCCACCTAACAACGCGCGAAATCGCAGTCAACTAGAAGCAATCATCCGCATATCAGAATCCCTTGCCAAACTCACACTCTCACCCGTGGTCAAACCCCACCACGTTGAAGAGTCCATTCGTCTCTTCAAGTTCTCTACTATGGACGCCGTCTCTGCAGGTTCGGCCGACGGACTCTCTCGCGGCGAGCTGAACGACGAGATGTCCCGGATCGAGAAAGAGCTCCGGAGACGACTCCCCATCGGCTGGAGCACGAGCTACCAGAGTCTCGTACGAGAGTTTGTAACGCAGCAAGGCTACTCGAGTCATGCTTTAGAGCGCACGCTATTTGTCCTGGAGAAGAGGGAGATTGTAAGGTTCTCCGGTCAGAAGAAAGTTGTCCATCGGTATGTTCGCTCGCCTCCGCAAAGATATTCTCCAAGTTAACGGCATGTTTTTAGTGTTGGCGTGTAAAATGTGTCTCCTTACTTGCTTTGTTAACGGTGTGTATCAGACTGTTGTTCTGTTTGTTCGCTATCTTCCATGTTGTCATTCAGCTATACCTAACAATGACAATTGTATAAATTCTGTCGTGTCGTTAGTGTGATCGCAGACGCCAATAGTAAGGATCCAGCACCGCCCGCCTAGCTCAATCGGATAGAGCGTCAGACTCTTACGAGTGCGGGTGGAAACAAGATCCTGTGATCTGAAGGCTGCGAGTTCGACCCTCGCGGTGGGCTAGTGATTTTGTTTCATGAGAAAAGGTGACACTTCGACGGGATCTGTCATAAATTCCTTTCGTGACAGTAAACACTTCACACCACTACTGTACATGTATGCTGCACTATCATCATATCATCGTAGACAATGGCGGAACTTGAGCGACACAGACAGGGCATAATCCTCTCAAAACTTGATCATGCCTTTAATACGCGACCATCTTGGTGATCCCTTGGATCTCGCGCTCATAGCACCTGTGCTTGCTGACTTCGTTGGCGAACTGGGAAACGAAACCTTTGTCGCTCGAGGATATAGAAACACTATCCGCAGCGATGCTCGTCAGGTCGACCTGGCCAACAGTAACGACGCCAAGAGAAGTGACAACATTGCTGCTGTTGAGATTTGTCTGGTACTCGATACCGGGCAGCATGACCGCCTCGCGCAAGAATGCAACACCTGCGTGAGTACCAGAGTCAGCGTGTCACAATGAAATGGACGTCATGAAAATAATCCACCCTCGCCAATTGCACCAATGGCCTTGCAGTGACCGAAGGCCTCGCGAACCCAGTGAATCGTCCTGCCATTTTGTGCGAGAGCCTGTGCAGATTTGGCACCTCCTGGGATAATGAAGGCGTCGTATAGCGTACTCCTCTGACCCTCATAATGATGGTCAGCCCATACACCACCCTTACCCGACCCAACGACAGCACCGTCGGGATAAACCCAACCTCGCCTTGGGCCGATGACCCAACTGGTCGCGGAACCAGCCTTGATCGCGGCACGGAGGGCTTCAACCTGAGCCATATTAAACCCGTCCGCAACAAGAATGGCAATCCTGCGGGACTTGATTGTAGGCTGCTTCGGGACGTAATAAAGTTGAGAGAGTGGAGACGATTTTTTTCCGTGGTTCTTGCTGTCAGGGGCTTCAGGAACAATACCGCCAACGTTGATGGCAACTTGTTTGGCGAGGTTGAAGTCGATGCGGTTCAACAGCTTTGTATAACCCTCGTAAACAGCGGCGTCGTCGCAGTGTGATAATTCGAAGGATATGGCGGACGCAAGATGTGCTTGCTCATACTCGGAAAGGGAATTGTAGAAGAGCTGGGCTTGGTTATAGTGCTCTTGGAACTTCGCGGTACGAGCCCGTTGTTTGATCCCCTGAACCTTCTGCGGATAGCTAAGCATAGATATTTGTCAGAGCAGGATGATTGTGTACTGCAAAATATAGCTTACTCATAGTAGCCACCGTCCAAATGCGCCACAGGTTTGAACTCCTCTTTGCGATTGGGCCAGTAGTTGACAGTACCTTGGCTGATTTTGTGCCTCATCTGTCCATCACGCTGATAATTCATGACGGGGCAAATCGGCCGGTTAATCGGTAGTTCTTGCCAATTGACACCCAGTCTGGAAGTCTGTGTGTCAAGGTACGAGAAGTTTCGACCTTGAAGCAACGGATCGTCACTAAAGCCAATGCCGGGGACGACATGCGAAGTGCAGAACGCGACTTGCTCGACTTCAGTGAAATATTCGTCCACCATGCGGTTCAGAACCATCTCCCCGATCGATTGCAATGGCACGAGTTCCTCGGGCCACAGTTTCGTAGCGTCAAGGATGTCGAAGTCGAAGTCATGCTCGTTCGCTTCGGCGATTGTTTGTATGGCGAACGTCCATTTGGGGTACGCGCCGGTTTCGATTGCCTCCTGTAAATCTTTTCGGTGAAAGTCTACCGCAGAATATAATATTTAGGCCCATGAAATGTACAAACCTCGGCGACTTACCAGGATCTTGTCCACAGATCTTCAATGCTTCATCCCAAACAAAGCTATGCACGCCAAGTTCAGGTATCCAGTGAAACTTGACAAAGACCCGTTCGCCCTGCGCATTAATGAGGGTATAGGTATTCACACCAAAGCCCTGCATCATGCGATAGGAACGGGGAATGCCACGGTCAGACATAGCCCACATCACCATATGAGCAGCTAGAAGGGACATCATCAGCACTATGTCGCACAGTGATAGACTAAACGTACACTCCGGTTGCAAACCTACAAAGTCCCAGAAATTGTTGTGGGCGCTCTGACCTGTAGGTACCTCGTTATGAGGCTCTGGCTTTACGGCATGAACAATGTCAGGGAACTTGATAGCATCTTGAATGAAGAACACAGGAACTGAAATGGGCACCGTCAGATGCAAATCATCAGTGGCGCTGCAAATTGTTGCTTACTGTCGTTGCCGACGATGTCCCAGTTGCCTTCCTGAGTGTAAAACTTGGTTGCAAATCCACGCACGTCGCGGACGGTGTCCTAGAAACGGGGTTATAGATCCGTGTGTATCGCGTATACGGGCTAGACTGTACGTACAGCGCTTCCTCTAGAACCCTGCACTGTGCTGAATCTGACAAATGTAGGTGTAGTGCGCGAAGGGTCCGTCAACACAGGCGCAGATGTATACTTCTTGGCTGAGTCGTCGAAGACCTTGAAGTACCCATGAGCACCGGCACCGCGGGCGTGCACCACTCGCTCTGGGATCCTCTCGTGGTCAAAGCGAGTTATTTTCTCACGAGCAAACTACACATGGAGCATTAAGCGGGGAACAAAAGCATACACCACCAGCGAAATCGTACATGATCCTCCAGCAGAGAGGGTCCGGTGTGCGTCCCATCCTGTACCTTGAGCCTGAGAGCAATAAGAGTCAGAGCAGAAACACAACAAATTCGCATACAATGCGACCAACGAACCAGTTGTCTGTTTCTGAAGCCTTGACACCATGGTCGTTGGTGAGAAAGTGCTGGGGCGTGGTAATGTCCCTCTGCAGGTCTGCTATCTTGTCAGACTCTGCTAAGGCTGTGATTTTCTGCTTGATTGCGCCTGTAATACTCATAGTTATGGTTCAAAGCGGCGGTGTAAAATTATCGTGCGTATTTTGGGAGATAAAAGTCAAGGGCGGGGCTGCATGGTGAACGACGGGTAGCGATCTATATAGCACCATAGGTGCCAACCTGTGCCGTCGATGAAGGAGAGGCTGGTCACAATTGTCGTCGAGCCCGACGTCATTGTGGCCAATGTCGACGTCAAAGAAACCAAATATGGCAATTCTCCGGCGGAATTGGAAACCATTGTCACGCAGCGAATCGAGTTCGACGTATCATTATTCCGGCACGAAACATAAATTCTTCCAAGTACTCAGGTCAACTACATTTCAACGAAACGTACAACAGCGCATAAATGTAGAAAGGATTACCCTTTAGAGGGCCCATACAGCGACGTCAAAACAAGCAGTAGAAAAGCAAAGTATACAACGTACGACCGTTCGGCCACGGACAGGACCGTGCTGTGCAACTAAATCATTCGTAAAATGAGCTCGATAAAGGAGTTGGGATGGGTGTGATTGTCAACAACACAACTGATCCAGTGCGCCGGGAATGGCACCAGGAAACAGATAAACGTGAAATGACAATTCACGATCGTCGTTGCAATGAACCAGGGAGTTTCACGGTCAAATGTCCGCAATATAGACCGAAAAGCATCCCCAATCATCACTCGGACGGACGGGAGTGTTTGACAGACTAAATAGGAATGTAGAAATCAACAACTGACACAGGGCATATTGACCGGGAGGACGTACGCAAACCGTGGTGGGACAGACGCGTAGGTTACGAAGGTGATCACTTCTTGGCCTGGCAATCACACTTCACCTTATCGTTGGAGACCGAAGATGCACCGCACTCTTCACACCGAGCACGAGTACTACCGGCGATGCCAACCGACTCTGCGTCGCTGCGATGAATTGAGATCAAATGCCGAGTAAGATCATGCTTGCGGCTGAAGGCACGACCGCACGATTTGTGCTGGCAAGCATAGGGCTTGGATCGGTTGGGGTCGTGAGTCTGAATGTGAGTCTTGAGGTTGAATGCCCGAGCGAACGCTACAGATATAGAATACGACAATAAGATATTATATGCGCTGAATTTGGGAAAGATACCTACATCGAGGGCAATTCGGACACTGGTATTTTCTCTTCGACTCTTTCGCGTTCATTGAGCGTTGCACGTTCTCCTGTTTCAAATCACGCTGCTGCGAGCCCAAGACCGCCGTCTGAAGCTGGTGTGCACTCGGCAATTGTGTGGAAACATTGGCAGGCGACACGGTCGCTTGAATGGCTGAAGATGGATACTTGATGGGAACACTCATTTGCGAGTAATAATCCGACGCCGAACTGGGCGCAACCCGGATGTGAGTGGGCTCATAGTCGGAATAGCTTCCTCGTGGGGGATAGGATGGGGGAGAGTACAGCGCCATGTTCATGATGTTGCTATTGGGAGAGCTATGAGCTGAATTGGGCGACTGGGTAGAGAAGTCGCTATCGGTGACGCCAAGGGCCTGGAAATTCATGGTGGTGAAAGGCTCGTAGAGGGCGGAGAGCTCTGACGCGGACTGATAGGTGTACGCTGAGTCGCTCTCGTTGTAGCCGGATTCGTAAGCAGAGGCTGATTCGGAGGAGACGGTGAAAGTCGAAGGAGCGCCGCGGGTAGGAGTACCCGTGCGAATATGCTCGAAGATGCCCGAAGGGTTTGTGAGAAAGGTGGGGTCGATGTCAAGGGAACCTTGGGCTAGGATGGCGTCGAGTGCGTCGATGTCGGCCTCAAATGCTTGGATTTGAATGTCCTGAGGCTGCTGCGAGGTACACTGACCGCCGATGGTTTCAAAGGAAGTGAAGTCGAAGTCTCCCGTTGCGTTCTGTTGAGGGCGCTGGGGGTGAGGCTCTGAATACAAGTCTATGGGTAGGGGCTGCTGAGAGCCGAGGGGATAGTACAAGAGTTCTGACATGGCAAGGAGGGGGGTTTAACTGGGATGGCTTAAATTTGAAGATGTGGAGGAGGGGTTATGACTGTGCGGAAGAGGCGAGGATGGCGGAGGAGGAGAGAGAGATGAGGCAGTCACAGACGAGTCACTCCCGTTATTCAACCCCTCAACCATCACAAACTCAATTGCTGCGGAGGTCCTTTCCCTCGGCAGGAACC